CACACACACACACAACGCCAAAAATTAGAAGTGGCCCCCATGTGATATTTTGACTTATCTTCGTACATTGATAGGGATCGATGACATACAAATAGCACAAGAATCTCTCTGCGAGGAGAGTAAGTGGGTGTGTTCCCCACTTCCCATGACAGCCTAGGGGTAGTTAGAAAAAGCGTCAAAAGCTGTAAAAACAATACGAATTAAATTAGATAAGCTAAATAAAAACAATTTATAAATTAGATAATCAAATACTAACAAATAGATCTAATCATAGTTATGTCTATTCTCTTACTATTCCATCTCAATGTTGCAATATCATCGTACTTATTTACTCACATTATCAATGATTGTCTGATACGAATAAGACCACTAAAACAGCTCCAATATAAGAGACACGGAACAAACAAAAAAAGGATTTGAAATAACCCATCATGTTTCTGGTACTCATAACGTACTCGTCGTACTTATCCATAGCCCTGACCCATTTACATAAACCTTCACAGGCCGTGGAGGCGATCTTGATCTTGTCCGGGTCAAAGTCGGGGTTTGGGACGTACACTTTCCGGATCTTCTGCATATTGCTCGGTGGGATATTATCCTGTTTACAAAACGATAACAAAGGCATTACTTCCTTGTTGGGTAATTGGTTGGTTGGTTGGTTGGTTGGTTGGTCTCTTTATTGTGTAGTTGGTCAGTAGGTAGACATGTAGATAGGTAAGTAGATTGGTAGGTAGGCAGATAGATATGTAGACAGTTGGCTAGTTGGTTAGTAGCTGGTTTCTTGATTGACAGGTCGGTAAGTAGGTTAGCTCGTTAGTTAGTTGTAGGTTGGTTGGTTTGTTGATTGGTTGATTTCATTTTTTCTCCCTGGCTAGAATATTTCCTCGATGAGCCTAATAAGTATAAGAATGGCAAGGATCATATATTTCATGGGTGTAAACATGTTTAACTTTCCTAACTGATATTGTTAAACTCTTTTCGTGTTCTCGGACTTAACCTTTTCGCGACCATGAACATCGATAGTAAAGTGAAAGTTAACATATTTAACCCAACCCTTGCTGTTGAGACCCAAAGAGACACCAAAGATACCCGATGCCACAATGATGATTCCGTACTAATGCTATATGAAAAAAAAATGTTATAGTGACAACCCTAAGCTTTTTGTGGCGAACTCCTGTAGTTAGCAAAGATTGTGTTAACCAAAACAATTTCTGCCTAACAAAATAAATATAAAAAATACAACACTTTGGTCGCTTAAAACGGCACTAGACCATTGTGAAAGAGGTGCTTGAAGGAAGGATGTGGGGCGGGAGAACCAGGGGCAGAGAAAGGGCGACATGGATGGACACCAATAAAACACGTTTGGCCTGGGTATAGCAGAATGTGCAACGGTAGCTCGTGACTGGGGAGGATGAAGGGGCATTACGCTTCAACGTCTGAGTCACATGTGACACCTCCAAGTATCCAGGCACAGTTCAATGCTTTGCAATCGTGAAGGATGGACGGTCATTGTACGTCAACCTTTGAGTCAGAGATAACACCACCCAGGTATTCCGGGTAACCATTTCTAACAAACCTTATCAAATTCTTTGAGGTTCTCTAAGAACTTCATATCTCCGAGCATCTTCTTGGACGGTCCCCAGTAGTCTTCGATCTTCTTCCCCGAGCCGTCCTGCGCCACCACCCGGTCCGGCTTGATTCCCCTCAGCACACACACCGCCTCCAGCGTCAGTCTCACGCCGTACGGTGGACTCTTCATCGTCTTCACCACCGTTATGTCCTGAGGGATTTTGTTGTTGTTGTTGTTAAGTTTCACGGTACTTGCAACACAAAACAACTTTGCAACGAATAAATCCAAGAGAAAAACTAAGCTGATCAAGAAGATAGACAGGAGAGATTGGAGTGCCATGGTCGTCAATGTCTGTTCCAGACCTGACGAGGAAGAAGAAAAAGCAACACTAAAAAAAAAACTCAGAAAGGGCTGGACTTCAGAAGTGTTACTTGAGAGTAACATTCAAAGGAAAGAAAGAAGAGTGATAAGGAAGATGGATTATTGACAGAAAAGAAGGAGCTTTACAACTCAGAAATATTGCATTAGAAGTATTGAGAAGTTTCCGGGAAGCATTGAGAACAAGTTGGGTTATTCCACGGTAACTAACGGGACACCTGGCCTTCACTTTCTTACAACGATAACACTGTAATTCAATATCAATTAATTTATTTCAAATATGAACGATTAGACCATTTGAAAAACTTTAAGAATAACATAAAATGCAGTAATAAAAAAAGCATACTTAATGCAAACCCTGTAACATGTTTAGTTTTGGTAACTGACGTGACAAATGAGATTCAAATGTTACAGTGATATCATTTAAGGATACGTTACACTACGAATTTTTGACCGCGCAATAAAACCTGACCTGTGGCGTCAGCGTATTCAGTGCTGAAAGTGCTGCTTCCAGTGCAGGCATGGCCAGGGCTAATTGGGCATCGCATTCGTCCTTGATGGCTTTGGCAGCTGAGGCTTGCTGGTTGGCAATCTCCTCGTCAGCTTTCACGACCTGGGGACAAATGGAGCCCACATGGCTGATAGCTATCCTCATCCTTTTGTGCTTTGTTCTATCGTGAGTATAATATGGCTGATAGCTATCTTCATCATTTTGTGCTTTGTTCTATCGTGAGTATATTTTGGGATGTGCTCTTACTTTCTATCTTAAACTTTCTCTCTCTCTCTCTCTCTCTCTCTCTCTCTCTCTCTCTCTCTCTCTCTCTCTCTCTCTCTCTCTCTCTCCCTCCCTCCCTCCATCCATCCATCCATCCATCCAACCATCTATCTATTTATCTATATATCTTTTGATCTATCTATCGATCTATCTACCTTCCTTCTCTTCTCTCTCCACTACCCCTCTCCCTATCTCTGTAACAAAAGGAAGGGCACGACATTATAGCCGACTTCGGCAGTCACAAACCTTCTCCACTTTGGCCACTTCTACTGAGTCCTTCTCGATGACGGCCATCATCTCCGTGACCTCTTTGGAAGCCTTCTCCAACTGCGGCTGTAGGTCCGTCAGCTCCTGCTGCATCACCGACACCTGGCCCGCCGCTGAGGCCAGTTTCTCCAGGCCCACCACGTACCGCATCTTCTGGGTCATCACCTGACTGATTATAACATATTTTTAGCAGTCAAAGGTAAGATTGTGGAATTATGTGTGGATGTCATGATGTCATTGGTATAAAAGTGATTCTGGTGTGTTGGTAAGACTCTTGACATTTTACGTTAAAGACTTAGTCCGCTCAATTCACACTTGGACGAAGTCTAATTCTTCGGGTTTTCTTGACTGCATCCCATTCCACCTGGGTTGGACCCAGACTACCAAAGACAAAGCGGCTCAATCCCAAATAATCTAAATTGTGTCAAGGTGGACAGTGTGTCAATCAGTCAATGGGATTGTAGGTACAATTGTCAAATATTATACAGATTCCGGTTTCTATGATATGCGTTGCTATTTCATTGAAACCCAGATTGGCAATCGTTTTCTTCTTGTGAAGTGATTTTTTTCCTTAAGAGTACAAAGGAAAACAGAAATTCGAAAAGCTGTCGATTTTGCAGATATCAACAGTTGGGGTTGGGCCAACTTGGTTTAACTTGCCAGTTGTGAAGAGCCGAGCCGCTGGCAGGCCCGGTTGATAAGTAACAATAAAAAACCCACAGTAAACCATAATATAAAGCTTCACGAATTAGAAAGCGGAAGCCACGAGATAATCATGCAAGCTGTGCACATCCACAAGAGAATAAAAAAAAACCTTCTAAGACCTCAAAACGTGGCACAAACTCTTCTGTGCAAGAAGAATTTGTCTCTTTACCTTTCTTGTTAAGGATTTTAAATGTTTTTTATCGGGGAAAAAGGGGGGGGGGGGTTGACGGGTTGACGGGTTGACGGGTTGACGGGTTGACGGGTAAATAAATCAATCTCGCGAGAAAATGTCAAATACCTATCTAAAACTTACGATCTTTTAGCGTTCAGCAAATTTTTGAAAGTGCTAATAAGCTCCAAGTAAGACGTTGGAGTGACGTAGTTGTGACGATCCAGCTCGTGCAGAAACCTTTGGGATAAATGCTGCAGAAAAGAAAAAGAAAGTACACATTTTTTTCCATAGACTCGTGCAGTGGATGAAGCTCGTGAAAGACAGGGTAGTTCTCTAGTTATCTATTTTTAGATGCCGACCGTGACCTGTCGATCCTGCATCGATTATCTCTCTTCATAGACCGCAGGTCCTGTCATGACATCCTGTCATATCCATCTGTTTCTAGGAGGGCATTAGGCTGCCAGACTCCAGACTACTTAAATTAGGTTCACATTATCACCACTTTAACCGGAACCTAGTGCTCTAGAGAAGATTTCCACATTGAAGTAGATTGGCAAACAGGCTATTGTTGATTTTCTACGAGCTCATGGTTTCGTTTTCTTTCACCTACTTCATGTGAGTGGCGCCACCCCATTCCAGCAACAGCTCTCGCCACTGCCAACAAGCAGCAGAGGTTACCTTTATTTATACCTCTTGAAAACTAAGTCCAGTTAGTATTAGAAGGACTAGATCCAATTCTTTATCAATTCGATAATATATAAAACATGCTTTTGAAAGTTGAGAGAGAAAGTAAGATAAGGGACAGAAACAACAGCTAGAGAAACAGAGTGATGGAAAACGAACAGACAAGGACACAACTTTTATTTGTCCTTTTCAGCAATGATGTTTGTAATAGCATATTTCACGAAATGATTGAAAAGTTTAGTCGTTTCACGAAATTATTGATTTCACAGTCCGACTGTAACATATACAGTAGCACACAAGTCATACACAACCACTTGACCCAATCAGCTTTAGCAAACAAGTACACCGTTTTTTCATAACGAATAAAAAGGCACTAGTATCAGTTGTGCACGTTTCTCCGTTGCACGAAGTTGACCGTAGTTCGATTCCCGAATGGCGACGTTTTGTATCACTCGTCTCGCGAAAGATCTCAATTATGCCGATGAGCGAGTAAGATGTAAATTTAAATGCAATAATTACAGTTAGGGGGACAAAGTCTAGCGCGTCACCTGTGTGGACTGGTGGAAGTGTTTGCACATGACGATCACGCCGGCTCTCTCGTGGTCC